AGCCCGGTATCTCCTGGCGGATAGTCGCTGGCAGCTGCTCAAGAGCCTTGGCAAACCACGGGTCAAGAAACTCTGCCCCTGTCGAAGTGGTGAGGTACTCTGCAAACATCGCCTCCTCGCCCGCCACCCCTAACTGTGCAATGTCACGCGCGGCCTGCGCCCACCCACAGACATAGGACAATGGGCTCAAAGAGGCCGCCGCCCGGATCCCGAACCCTCCGAGTCACACAGGGAGATGCAGCTGCATGCGTGCGCGCCTAGACCGGTCGGGGTCCTGCTCCCAAGTGCCAGGTGGGAAAAGCTGCTCGAAACAATCCTCTAAACGGCTGTCCCAATCCCTAAAAGCCTCAACCACCTCCGGGCGCGGCGGCATAGTCCGGGCGAGGTACATCGGCCGCGCTGAAACTGCAATGGTGAGGAGGTGTGAAGCCATCTGGGGGTGGTCGAGCAAGGGGAGCCATGGCAGTGGCGCCTGCAACTGTCGAAGCCGCTCCCGTAGCCGGACCACCTCCAAAACCTCCTCCCCAATAGGCACGCCCACCACAGTAAGACCCTCATCCACCCGCTGCGTCCCCAATGGCAGTGCCCGCTCCACCTCCCCGCCCTCGCGCTCCCAAAACCGGCACTTGTGCGCCTGCACCTCCAGCCCCACCCACTCCAACCGCTCCCGCAGCACCCCAAAAGCCTCCAAAATCCTAGCCGCTGGCCCCAAAATATAGGTATCGTCTGCATAGCTGAGAAAAAGCAGGTCCCCGAACTCCCTAGTAACCGGCTCCATCACCAGCTGCTGCATGAACGCGAAAAGAAAAGGGCCGAGCGGGTCCCCCTGCCTCGATCCCCGTGCCGACTCGAGACTCTGTACGAAAGGGCCTGCTCGGAGGTACAGGTCGCTGGGTGTCCCATAGAAAACACGCAAGAATGGGATCATCCCTGAGAAAACAGTGAAAATCCTAGGTCAATGTTGTAGCTTACCAAATAAAGCTAAACTCGTGATTCCATGTTCCATATCCTTGTTTCGCCACCATTCTCCTATCTCATGCTTCACTTGTCTTCTGCCTTGCTCGTGCTTTCTTCAGGAACCTCAACAACAATTACCTGAGTGGATCCATTCCGTCCGACGTTGGCTCTCGCCTGCGTAATCTGCAAGTCATGTGAGACCTTTTGTTTTGTTTTTTTCGCTTGCGAATTCGATTAGAGGGAATCAATTTTGGAAGATTGAATTTCTCGAGCAACACCTGATTCTCGCGAAATTCAGCACATGCGACTTCGCAGAACCGGTACTGTAGCGACTCGGACGTGCAAGTCTGATTCTGAGGTCTGTTATGTGTGTTTTGCGTCATGTCAACGATTCAGCGCACGTGCGGGCTGTGACCGGTTTTTACATATCGTAGGTGTCCGTGTAAAAAAAAGAAGTATAATTCTGGTTACCAGGCAAAAAAGTGGTAACTGAAAGTGCAGGTGATCTGTAAACGTACGCGCTGGACACGCCCTTACAAAAACATCGACAATGTTTGTCACTGGTACTATTTTTACATACAGCGACCAATATGCATCCAGCATATCGACCAAACATCTGATTTCTTCTTTTTCTTCGACACATTGTGGGTGTCGTCTCGGCTCGCAAACATCAAAGTGCGTATGGTCGAACTAACAACGGATTTGTTGCACACAACTTCGACCGGATGTTGACAATGTTTCTTGCGGCAATCCCCACAATAATCAGAAGCCTCATTCGCGATTGTCGCAAACCGGATACTCGCAACTTCTGCACATGTTGATCGTGTTAGAGATAGGCTCTCAACACTTTGTGTACTCTATTTTATATGGTTTAGGTTATTTGCGGGTTGGGTGTAGATTTGTAATCCCAACCCTATCTGGTTGGGATTCCCTCGTAATCCTGCAAATCTGCCTACTCACCAATTGGAGATTTGCTAGGATTCCCATCCCATCCTTTCCCTAGCTTTGCTCAACCCAACCTTGTTTGTACTTAAAGCCCGCGTCCCAAATTGCGGGCCGCGAGGGTCAAGTTTTTAAAACTTGACGAAGTTGAGTGTCCAAGCTTTTGAAAGTCACGCACTTGCAATTTGGGACTTTCGAAGACAGATTCACTCACCAGGGGGAAAACCGAGGGTTGGCTGGGTCTCGCGAAAAAAACCGAACCTAGACGAAATCGGAAACTCTCGCCAAAGCCCACACCAGAAAAACTCCCTCTGGTCAACTTTTAAAAGCATGAACAATTTGGGCCGCCGGCTTTAAGGCCTAGTGCCTTCTTGATCAATCAATCAGTTAAGCTCCAATTCTATCAGATCGTGCACATGATCCACACCCCAAAGTAATGGGGGGCTGGTGGGTTTTGTAGATCCAGTGCGGTGCAATGCAATGCAGCAGGGGGTTGAGATTTGGGTAGGATGTTTGAGTCGAGACCTTGTTGGACGAAAATTGCGAATGGGTCTCGGTTTCGGGACCTGCCTTGAAATTGTGAGATTCTGAAATTGCAAATTTGTCGGCAATTTTTGCTGACGGAACTTTGAAAAGTGAGTATTCCTGGATGGTGGATTTCAGCGTCCAGGGTGGTGTCGCTATACCTGGTGGACGTTTGGGAGTGAAGGAAATAAAACACCTGGTGCAATACACTCTATGTGTCTAGGGTTGAGCACGGGAGCGGGCTGGGCCCGGCTTGGGTTGGGCCGGCCCGAAACTGCCCCTGGCCGAACCTCTAAATTGGGCTGTCGGCCCGGGGCGGGCCGGGCAGTCCCATCCCGCCGCGCAGTCGGCGGCCCGCTTTTGGCCCGCCCGTTTAGGGGCGGACCGACTCGGCCCGCCTCGAGGCGCGACCCGGGTCGGGCCGTTTTGGCCCAATTTTGACCCCCGCGACAATTTGTCGTGGGGTATGAGCTGCGCGACAAAGTTGTTGGAGCTCTTGTAAAGGTACAAGTAGTGCTAGTCGAGAAAACCCTAGGAGATGATTACAGTGTCGACTACATCTCAGGCCAACAAATGGGGCCAGATCTGGTCGACCTGGTTTGAAAAATAATGGACTGGTGGGAAATTCTAGATTCAGTGCGGTGAAATGCGGCTTTTGTTGTATTTTGTTGGCCTGGTTTACGAATATTGAATTTCGTCAGATCTCAATCACGCGGGAATTCGATCCCCGCGACATTTGTCGCGGGGGTCAAAAATGAGCTGCATCTTCCAGCCAGGCATGAGCAAATTTTCGAACCCCAAACACGTTCGAGTCGAACATGTTCGTTTCGAACATGTTTGAGGGGTTTTTTTTGGGAATAATGTTCGCCCAAACACGTTCGAGGTTCGGCCCGAACATGTTCGGTGTTCGGAAAGTCATAGGGGGGAATTTCCGAACACCAAACATGTTCGGAAAGTTTCCCCGCTTTTCCGAACATGAGATGTTTGGAAAAAAACAGCGCGACAGATGTCGCGCTGGTTGGATGTATTTCCTACGGAAAGCTCAGATCGAGGTCATTTCGACCTCGATCTACCTTTTTAGGTTAAGTACAGAGGAGTAACGATTAGTAGGCGCATTTGATGCCGACTTCAGCCCAACTTAATGGTTCCTGATGGTAACTTAGGTTAAATAGTCGTCAGTTAGTTGTTTTTTTAAGTAACTTAGGGTTTCACAGGATGATCGGTTAACGACTCCAGTCATAAAAATACAGATACCTTTGGGTGTTTAAGTCCTACGCTATCGTTCGTACAAGTGCGATTTGAAGGCTTCACGGCGAAGGACCGGGTGGGAGGAGCAAGGGCGGATGGGGGAGGCGATGAGGATGGAGAACCTAAAGACGTGCTCGAAATGAGCAAGTCCACATTTTCAAACATCAAACATGTTCGACATTGACCGAACATGTAGATGTTCGGCAAACCTAAAGACGTTTGCCCACCTAAACCAAACACCGAACACTGAAAACCAGAAAATAATGTTCGGCCGAACCAAACATGTTCGGTCCGGTTAAGAAAAACGTTCGGGGACGTTCGGGCAAACACGTTTGGTGTTCGCCCGTTGCTCATGCTTCCAGCAGCTCACCCCCAGCTTCTTGCCATACATTTCGATCTCACCTAGCTTGTTTTCCTAACTTATAGTTAATATCTCGGCAGTTGCACAAAGATAGGCGGATGTCCTAGACTTGTTTGCCTCTCTAAAACGGGCCCCAAAACACATGTGACTATAACAAAATAGTACCCGGGCCGGGCCGAGCCCGGCCCTGGTCGGGCCATACGCGGCCCTGGTCGGGCCATTTCGGCCCGGGTACCCCCTGGGCGAACTCGGGCCGAGGTCTAGCTCATTCGGCCCGGGGCGCCCGGCCCGCTTTTTTGGGCAGCCTGGCACGGCCCGACCCGGGCCCGGCCCGTGCTCAACCCTATATGTGTCTAGGTATGCTTAGTGCTGGTGCTTGTAGTCTAGGCTGTGGGAGGGGGAATAGTAAAAAAATCGAGCTGAAAAATGAGGGTCGCGTGAACTTTTTCGACGAACACACTTGTGTTCGTGTTCGGCTTGGCCTGGCTAGCCGCACCGCAACGAACCGAACAAGAACATGTTCGCCCCGAAAATGTTGGGCAAAAAAAACTACAAAACAAAAAAAACGAACAGGTGTTCACCCTTGTGCTCATGTCCTGACCAGCCCTAGGTTCGGCGAGCCGGATACGCATTGTCGGCCGACAAGCCGACGACCGGCTCGAAACCCAGCTGGCCTCGTGCCAGGCGAGCTGGTAATTTGAGATTGCCGCCGCGGTTTGCCGAATTGATGAGCCGAGCCAACGAGCCAAGCTCCCGGCTCAGACTTCTGCTCATGCCAAGTCTGTGCATTGTCAAAGTGTACTCGGAGTCAGTGTCCTGGCTGCCACACCATGTCAGCCTCCCCTGAACCTGTTATTGAGTTGATATTGCGCTTTCCTTGCTGAATGTTGAATCAGCCCCACTTGGCCCCACTCAGCCCCACTTATCAGCCCCACTCATCCCTACATATGCGTGTTGCTCCATCCAGGGAACTCAATAGCAATTGGCTCTCTGGCCCTATCCCTGCCAACATTGGTTCAATGACCGCATTAGTGGACCTGTAAGCCCTAACTTGGATATCCTCACATCTTTCGATTTGCTGTAGAAAGTTTCCGTTATTAACAATCAGATTCATTGCATGCCCAATCTGTGGCCTTAGTGCTCGTGCTTGTTCTGGCTGTTCATATGTTTTCACGAAGCTCCTCATTTTACCACTCTGTTTCAATTCCTTTCACGATGTTTTGTTCTCTCCTCACTCGTGCTCGTATGATGTCTCTGTACTCATGCTGTACACACCATAGGCAAAGTGAAAGTGACGTACAACACTGGCACTAATTTCTTGTCTCTAAGTTGAAGTACAAGCTCTGATGTTTTCTCAGCTAGGACTCGTGCCGGGTGACCCGCAACCACTCTCGCTGTGCTTCCTCACTCCAACCACTCTCGCTGTGCTTCCTCACTCCAACCACTCTCGCTGTGCTTCCTCACTTCAACCACTCTAGCTGTGCTGCTCTCTGCCTTTGCCCTTACCCCGTGGACCATGCTCTTATCAGGAGTCTGCGCTCCAATGGGCTGACTGGATCTATCCCTGCTGCCATTGGTTCCCTCACAAGATTGTCTGCTTTGTAAGGCCTTGCGAGTCTCCAATTTCTTCAAATGACCGTTTCTTGTACTCTTCCCATACTCGTAGCTGCTAACCCCGTAGGTCCATGCTTGTATTATGAGTGGGGGATGATCCAAAGTGACAGAACGTGGTAGAAGGCATGAGCACAAGTCCAAGTCGGCGACTCAGCTCATCTGCACCAGTCACGGGTCGAGCCGGGGGTCTAGTGCAGCCGCGTCATTTCTGGTTGAGCCAACCCGGTCCGACTCGCGACACGTCCACGTACCAATGCGTGGCTTGCAGCTGCCAACTCCCGTAACTGCCAGCTGGCAGCAGCTTGCCAAGTGTTGTTCTGGATGTGCTAGACTCCTTTGCTGGAGACTAGGGGAGTAAATGGCTGCACTCGATTTCCAGCTTGGCACATATTCTGCATCGGTAGCTGTGCTCTGTTCAACACATCAACGTAGAGCATATTTTGTTGCTAATTTCTGCGTTTTCTTTACCCTGGCTATCTATTAGTGATTGCGTTTCTCCGTTCCTCCCTTGTCCCATATTTCCTAGCTCCCGCTCTCTCTCCCGCTCCTCTCTTCTCAACCTGGAACTTGCCAGTCCATGTTTCCTCCAAAGATTCTATCCTGTTTTGGTTTCTGGAATCATCTTGTCTCCCCTTTCTCGTCTCTTGTATTCTTTGCAAGGACTTCTATCCCTCCTCTTGCCGAATCCATTTATCCATCTCTTATCCCTTGCTCCGTTTTTTTTGTTTGTTTGACAAGCTTAGAAACCTTGCGTTCAATGATCTTGAGGGCTCCATTCCTGCCACGACGGGCTCGTTAACAGCACTGGAATATCTGTATGTCCTTTTGTGTGTGGCTTTGGAGAGGGATTGATTGTCACCATTCTCCTCACATCTTTCTCCTAATCCTGTTGGTTACACACATTCTATGTGTCAAGATAACCTTAAGAGAAGTCCAGGAGACTACGTATGTAAGTTGATGAGTCACAATGTTGGACTAGAGAAAGTATCACGATACACTTGAGCAAGGAGGTTTAGAAAACCCAACCGAACTGAGGGTGTGTTCAGATTGAGGCAAACGTACGAAATGAACCCTAAATTGTAACTTGCTGTAAGCATTGAGAACACTGTATGTCCTGCTTTCGTGTGTGGCTTTGGAGAGGAAAAAACCTGTTGAAATATATATTGTGTAGCATGCCAACACATGTGACTGTACACCAATTGTGGTGTACAGTTGGGTTGGGACTACACCCAACTTTGGGTGTAGTCTTGCACTTTGGGGTGCCAATCCACCCAATTGTGGTGGAGCCCCCAAATGCAACCCTCTTGACTTGTGGGTACCTCACTTCCCACAATTGAGGTTACCCCAAGCCAAGTGGGCCTAGGGTTGCCTCACTTCTACAAAGTGTGGGCAACCCAACCCACTTGACCTATGGTTCCCTCACTTCCCCAAGTGATGTCAACCCAACCTATGGTCACTTTCATCCTTCCCTTCCAACCTTCCCTTCAAACTATGTATGCTAGGTTGTTCCTCTAATCTAATGACTTGTTCAATTTGCTACTTTCACATGGTATAGAGCTACTTGTTCCTAGGCCTTACCTCTCCCTCCCTTCAGTTTTTTTTTTCCCATGGGCCCACCCCACAGCTACAAACCCTTTCCTACGCGTGGCTCAACTAGCCATCACTAGCATACTCTCGCCGCGACCTACGCCGTCGCCGCCGTTCCCCCCCCCTCCCGCCGCGATTACGCCTTCCTCGCCTGCGGATTCCACCGCCGCGAGCGCAACGCCGCTGTCCCCTCCTCCCCCCCGCCGCGACCCCCTGTCGCCGCCTCCCCTTCTCGCCGCCGCGCCTGATTCGGGGCCGCCTGCGCATCCTGCCGCCGCGACGCCTCGTCGCCGCCTGCCCGCTGCCCGTCCCTCCGCCGCGACGTCACGTCGCCGCGTTCCCGCCGCCGCGCCTGCTACGGCGCCGCCTGCGCATCCTGCCGCCGCGACGCCTCGTCGCCGCCTGCCCGTCCCTCCGCCGCGACGTCTCGTCGCCGCGTTCCCGCCGCCGCGCCTGCTTCGGCGCCGCCTGCGCATCCTGCCGCCGCGACGCCTCGTCGCCGCCTGCCCGTCCCTCCGCCGCGACGTCTCGTCGCCGCGTTCCCGCCGCCGCGCCTGCTACGGCGCCGCCTGCGCATCCTGCCGCCGCGACACCTCGTCGCCGCCTGCCCGTCCCTCCGCCGCGACGTCTCGTCGCCGCGTTCCCGCCGCCGCGCCTGCTTCGGCGCCGCCTGCGCATCCCGCCGCCGCGACGCCTCGTCGCCGCCTGCCCGTCCCTCCGCCGCGACGTCACGTCGCCGCCTCCCCTTCCCGCCGCCGCGCCTGCTTCGGCGCCGTCTGCCCGTCCCGCCGCCGCGACAGCTCGTCGCCCCCTGCCCGTCCCGCCGCCGCGACCTAACATCGCCGCCTGCGCATTCCGCCGCCGCGACTGCTCGTCGTCACCTCCCCGCCCCCACCCCCCCCCCCCCCCCCCCCCCCCGCCGCGATTTCGCATTGCCGCCTCCCCTCCCACCGCCGCACCTGCTTCCGCGTCACCCACGCATCTCGCTGCCCCTTCTGCATCGCCACCCTCCCGCAATTTCCCCCGCCGCAACTGCAACATCGTCGCCCCGCGGTTCCCGTTAACGCCACTGCGCCGCCGCCGCCCTACCGCCGCGACTGCTTCGGCGCCGCCTGCCCATCCTCCACTGCGACCGCGCCATCCCCGCCCACACTTCCTGCCGCCGTGACTGCCCCGTCGCCGCCTGCAGATTCAGCCGCAACTGCATCCTCCCTTCCTCCTCTCCCTACTCCTCTCCCCCCCCCTCCCCCTCCCCCTGCGCCCCTCGTTGCCGCGGCCTGCCTGCCGCCGCCGTCCCTCGTTTCGCCGCCGCGGCCCTTCCGCCGTCGCCTGCACCCCTCGTCGTCGCGGCCTGCTCGCCGCCGCCGCCCCCGACTTTGCCACCGCCTCCCCTTCCCGCCGCCGCACGTTCGCACAGCCGCCTGCGCCCTTGTCACCGTCGCTCCCTGCACCTTGAACGCCTCTGCCCTCCACCGCTGTCTCCCTCCTTTACCCCCCCCCCCCCCCCCCCCCCTCCCTCCTCCTGCCAGCGGCAGCAGCAGCGGCAGCAGGGGAAGTGCAGCAGCCTCCGCAGCAGCAACTTCACCCTTGGCCGCCGCGGGTCCACCCGCCGTCGCCCATCATGACTGCTACCCCCCCTGCCCCTCTCCCCCCTCCTCACTGGAGCAGTGTTACTCCTCGCCCCTCCCTTCTCAACACTCCGACCCTCCACTCCTCCCCCCCCCCTTATCTCCGCCTGCTCACCCCCTCCCCCCCTCCCCATCTGCGGCGTTTCCAGCAGCTCCAGCATCAGCAGCAGCAGGACTTCCAGCAGCGGCAGCAACCACAATTTCTCCAGCCGCAGCCCCCACATCTCCTCCAGCCGCGGCAATCGCAGCAGCAGCAGTTCTTCCAACACCAACAGCAGCCGCAATCTCTCCAGCCTCACCCGCCACAGTTTCTCCATCCCCAGCAGCAGCAGTCCTTCCAGCCGCAGCAGCGGCAGTCCTTCCAGCAGCAGCAGCTGCCACAGTTCCTTCCACCGCAGCAGCAGCAGTCCTTCCTGCAGCAGCAGCAGCCACAGTCTCTCCAGCCGCAGCAGCAGCAGTGCTTCCAGCAGCAGCAGCTGCCACAGTTCCTTCCGCCGCAGCAGCAGCAGTCCTTCCAGCAGCAGCGGCAGCCACAGTTTCTTCAGCCGCAGCAGCAGCAGTGCTTCCAGCAGCAGCACCAGCCACAGTTCTCTCCATCCGCAGCAGCAGCAGTGCTTCCAGCAGCAGCAGCCACCACAATCTCTCCAGCCGCAGCAACCGCGGCAGCATCGGCGGTGCTTCCAGCAGCAGCAGCAGCCCAATCTCTCCAGCCGCAACCGTCACAGTCTCTCCCACCGCAGCAGCCGCAGCAGCAACAGTACTTACAGCAGCAGCACCCGCCGCTCTCTCCCTCTTCTATCCATGAAACAACTCTCCAGTACTCTGTGTTCCCTCCCTCTCCTTCCCCCCCCACCCTGGACTTTGTCCTTGACAGTGGGGCCACCGAAACCGCACTAAAAGACGCTGGCACCCTCACCCCCCTTCCACTTCCCACCCAGGTTCATGGTGCCGACTCCAGCTTTTCCATCCCCTGCACTCACCTCTCCACCCTTCCTTGCACCGCCTTCCCATCCGGTACAGTCACCGGTCTCCACATCCCTACCCTTCGCAATAACCTCCTCTCCCACCGTGAACTCCAAGGCGTTGGCATTACCGCCATATACCCTGGCTTTGCTTCCTACTGCGATCTCTACCACACCGCCTCTGGTCGTTTCCTCCTGCGCATTCTCGCCTTTACACGCTCCGCACACCCCGTCCCTCCTTTTGTCACGTCACCACTCGTGCTGGTACTTCCACCGGTCCCCTTCTCCCTCCCCCTCCCCCTCCCCCTCCCCCTCCTCCGATATCCTCCTCCTCTACTCCATCCGCCTCCTCCTCCCCCCCCAACTTTTCCCCCACCCCATCCCCCTCCTCCTCTACTGCCCTCTCCCATCCTGCAGTGCTCCTACATCACAGACTCGGCCATCCCAACTTCGCCGCACTTCGCTCCACCGTCACCTCTCGCCTCCTTAACAGCCTTCCTCCCACCTTACCTCCCCTCCCCTCCTCCCCTGCTCCCCCATGCCCATCATGCATTCATGGCAAGCTCAAATAGTCCCCCCATCACAGTCATCCCACCTTCGCTCCCGCCCCCATTGACCTTGTTCACATGGATCTCTGGGGCCCTTATCCCATCCGCTCCCGTCAGGGGCACAGGTACATGCTCGTGCTCGTCGACGACCACAGTCGGTACTCCACCGTCTTCTTTCTTCACACGAAAGACCAGGTGCCGGCTGTGGTCATCAACTGGGCTGAGCAGTGCCGCAACCACTTCAAACGTCCCATAGGCCGCCTTCACTCTGACGGTGGGGGTGAGTTCATCAATCATACTCTCTCCACTTACTGCAAAACATACGGCATTCAGCAGACCACCACCCTTCCCCACTCCCCTCAGCAAAACGGCATCGCTGAGAGTCGCATCCGTGAGATCACCAAGATTGCGCGCTGCCTCATTGCTCACGCCTCCACCCCTCCCTCCCTCTGGAGCTATGCCCTCATTCATGCCGCCCTCCTCCTCAATCTCCGCTCCCACCCTCAGCATCCCTCCTCCTCCCCCACAGAACTCTGGTCCAAGGCCAAGCCTGACGCCGCAGGCCTTCGTGTTTGGGGCTGCAAGGCGTTCGTCCTCATTCCACCGGCCGACCGCTCCCGCGCTGCTGGCAAGCTCGCTCCTCGCGCTCTGGAGTGCGTCTACCTTGGGCACAATCGTGATTCCCCAGGCTACCTATTCCTCCACCCTCCCACCAATCGCCTCATCCGCAGCATTGACGTCGTCTTCGACGAGTCCACTCCCTACTAATCCACCCCTCCTCCTGACCCCCTCCCTCCTCCCACTCGCCCCCTCGCTTGGACCGACACCATCCTCCCGCCTCTTATCCCTCCAGCGCCTCTCCTCCCACCTGTCGCCGCCCCACTCCCGCCTTCCTCCTCTGCCGACGTCTACGACCCTGCCGCACCCGCCTCCCCCGCTCACTCAGCTGCACCCCCTCCCCCCTCTCCCTCCTCCTCTCATTCTCCTCCTTTCCAGCAGCCGGATCAGCAACAGCAGGGGCAGCAGCAGCAGCAGCAGCCGGATCAGCAACAGCAGGGGCAGCAGCAGCACCAGCAGCAGCAGCAGCAGC